CCGTCTTGATCTGACTGTTGGTTTTAATAGCAGGGTGTTCCAATTGGTGGGGGTTTCCTAGGGCCCAGGTGAGGCTGGCGTTTCTGCGTCGTGCTGATACGTTGCGTAGTCATCAGGTTGTTTGTCTCGGGTCGGTCGATGACTTTTGGAGCCGTGTGGCCGATGAACTTGTTGGATCCTTTCGCAAGAGTTTCGTATCGCGTTTCCGTATTCGGATTTCCATGGCTAGCTCCAGTGATCGGAAAATGGGTTTTGCTTATGTTAGGGTACGGAGGGTGTCTACGTAACAGCGCCGAGGCCTGATCCGGGCAATTCGGTGCCCCCCCTTCCCCCCCCGGGCCATGGATTGGGACGGCCGGGGAAGCGGAGGGAGAAGGCGGGGGTCTCGCACCCGATCGCGGCATTGGATTTGCGGGGGGCACGAATCCCGCGATCGGAGAGTCTTCCCGAATCGCTTTTCCGCCTTCCTACCCCATTACACGGGGTGAGCGGCAGACGAGCAGGCCTGACGCTCCGGCGCATTGGTCAAGAGGAACACTTGCGCCGGATGATGGCCCTGGGGCGCTCAACCCGCCGGCGGGAGCCGGGTAGGCTCCGAGGGCGAGGGCGAGGGCGGCCGGATGGGACTCGGCCACGGGAGCGAGGGAGGGGGAGCGAGAGTCGGGCCCGGCGACGGACCCTCGGCGCCCCCGAATGAGCGCCGCGGCTGTACCCGTTGGGTTGGGGTGCAGCGCACGGCGCCTCCAGGGCATTACAGGTCGTGGGGCACGGAAGGAAAGGAATTTTTATGGGTTTTGGGGAAACGTTCCGCGAGGATCGGCGATGCAAGCGTGCAACAAATTATCGCACCGATGATAAAAGGAATACTAATACATTGTGCATACAATCCTTATTCGCTAGTATCCTATGTGAATCTTACTCACAGGGTTCGATAATCTCCGGAATGGAACCATGTAATGTGTCCAAATTATTTTCGGAAATAAGACATTAAAAGCGTGCTCGCTGGTAAGGATTGTAAGCACAAGCTAATACTATTTCAATCTTCCTCGGTGTGATCATTCGCCATTCTTCCAAGACATTTTTTTACAAGAAATACATTTCCTGTCCTAATTAATAGTTTCAACTACACTTCGGAAAAATAGTGCAACTCTAATTAAACGCTTTTTTATGGCATGTTTTGGGCTCTTAGTTTTATGTTGTGACGATGCACCCGGTGGGCGATCGCCCCAGGTCTCCATATTCTAAAACCCTCCCTATTCTAAAACCTCCATCCTGCAAATCATCCAAATCCGTTCCGAAGGCAGTGATAATATATTTTCTTGTATCATTACACCCATGTCTTATTCCAGCACGCTCGACGCTCAAGGCCGAGGAGGAGAGGAGACCGAATAGTCATAGCGTTACCTTGCATACTTTTTTTGATAGCATAAGTTGCGTATAGCTTAGGCGTTAGGAAAGCCTCGCGGTGAGGCGAGTGCGGCACAAGAAGACAACAGCCGTCGCGGGACAAGGGCGCCCTCGAGGGACTACAGAAGCAGATGACAACGGTGGCAGAGAGGCCTCGCCCCGCCGCCGCCCATGGGTGCCGGGGCCGCGCGGAGTAGGGCCGAACGGAGCCACCCGTGACCCCGCGCTTGACGGCAAGGGCCGACCCATGGCGGCGCCGCTGGGTCACCGCGTCCGCACCCGGATTTCCGGCCCCTCAACGATGGCGGGAGGAGGGTGCATTGCCGGTGGCCGTGGCCCCCCCCCGCCGTGACCTTTGACTCTAGGGAGTCCATAAAAGGGCGGTGAGGGGGGGGGGTCCCAATTGCGTCGCCCTCCTGCGTCGAGGCCAGGCCGCGGTGACCCCAGGGCGGAAGGCCCCACTGGTCCCCTCACCCGGGAGCCGTTGCATCAGGGGATGTCGGCAACCCCGGGCAAAACCCCGAGAAATCTTGACTCAAAAGGAGCCCAGGACCGGCGCCACCAAATCCTCGAGGAGACACGTCCCTGGACCTGCGGATGACGTCACGCGCCGGCCGCGCGCCCCGATTGGACAGCAGGATCCGCTTCAAATCCGGCGCGCGAACTTGCGCCGCGGCTGTCATCACCCCAAAATCCTGGCAATTTAGAACGCGACCACTGTCAATTGGCCGACGCAATTTGGCAGTCGACGGCGGCCAATCAACGAGGACGTCGAGCCGCCGAAGAGGATCCGTCGAGCCTTCCCGGAGGACCTCAGCGAAGACCCGGCCTTCTTGGTCCGTGAGCTTCGAGCCGTGTGGACGCCTTCCAAACATCTCGCTGCCTTCGCCCGCAACCACTACCTCCACCAGAAAGGACGCCTGGAGAGCATCGTCGCCGTGGGTGGACCTCCAGGACACCGCGGGAGCGCTGTCGCGCTCTCCGAACCCGAGGTTGGAGCGTACTTTACCTTTTGTTTTCTTGAAAATTTTGTCTACCGTGTTTTGTTGAATTTCCTCGGTTTTCGCGTTTGCCCGGGTAACCCGTCGTCGGGCCGCGCGCCACGCGGTCGGCCCTTCCGCGTTTAATTGGTCAAGTCTCGTGTGAGCGACCTTGTTTTTTGGTTTTCGAAATACATTATCTTTTGCTGCCTCTCTCCTCGGTCGGATCAGGAAGCCGTGTCGACCCAAACTCGAGAATGCTGTCTTGAGCGGTCGACACGTTAAGCCCTTTTGTTTCGCGAAGTGCGAATTACCGTTAAAGTCCGTTGTTTCGCGAAGTGCGAACTTCACCTTAAATTCCGTTTATTCCGTGAAGTGCGAATTTCTGTTAAACTTCTTTGGTTTCGCGAAGTGCGAACTTCACATTAATTTCCGTTGTTTCGCGAAGTGCGAATTTCCCCTTTAGATTCCGTTTGTCGCGAAGTGCGACTTTTACGTTCATTTCCGTCTGTCTCGAGAAGTGCGAATTTCCCCTTTAGATTCCGTTTGTCGCGAAGTGCGACTTTTACGTTAATTCCCGTCTGTCTCGAGAAGTGCGAACTTCAGTAAATTCCTTTTTGTGTCCGCGAAGTGCGATCTCCCCTTGATTTAAAATCCATTTTCGCGATAGGCGACCCCCTTTAACTTCCTCCCCCGTTCAAGCTGACTATTACTTGTTTAACCGTGCCTGCCTTCGATTAAGCGGTTCCAGTTAAATCGACCCATGAACTTATGTCCGGAAATTTCGATGAAGTTAAAATATTATTTTCGTATGTGATACAATTTGATTTGATTATAATTATGTCCGCGCCTATGTAATTTACGAAACTGTCATGTGTCCGAAATCTTTTGTTTCTTGCGGTTGAATTGATTTGCGCTGATATTCAGAATTTGCTACCTTTTCTTGCGCTACTTTGCCTTGCATTTTTTTTGTGTTTATCGCTGCCTTCCTCGCGTAAACCTTGATTGATTTTCTTGCGCCTGTTCTCCGATGGAATAATTTCTTCGCGAGTTTCGTCTTGTAACATTTCCGAATTTAATTTAGTGCGTGCTATTCTTAATTTTCGTATTCTCTTCAATTGGAGTAATAGTCTTGTCCCGTAGTCGGGCCCAATTATAATTGAAGTCCGTTTAGCGTTTGGAATTTTTGGAATTTTGGATTTCGCGTTTTTGGATTTTTGGGCTGTCTAAAGCTACCGTCTCTTTTCCGTGCGCCTCGCCGCGCGCATCGTCCCGTTGAGCGCGAGCGCGCGCTTCGTCGCCTGGGCCGGTACCGGATTGTGGGCCCGCCCGTGGCCATTTTGAGATTGTCAAAGTCAATATTTTCCATTTTGAAATAAATAGGCCCTTAATTTAATTCCGTCTCTGGTTTGCTTTTTTTGAAAGGACCCCGCCCTCTCCGCGGTCGCTTGGGCGTACTGAGCTAGCCCGGTTTATTTTCCGTCGTCGGCGACGCTTCGGCTCGTCTCGTATCGCTACCGTTAGTTCAATTTTTACGTGTCTGGGACTTTTAAATGATTTTGCTGCTGTTAGTCGAGGGACCGATCCTTCGGGCCTTCCGCTGGTGCGAATCCGTGGGCGGGTTGGGAGGCTCATCGCTGGTGCGTGAGCTCCCGTACGCTGGTGCGAGCCCCGACGGATTGGGCCCGTGTGGTTCGGGTCCCGGATTGGCCCTTTGGAGGGCCTGGCGCCCAAAAATTTTGCTGCTGCAGAGCGATTACGCGACGGAGACCCCCTTTTATTAATTATTTATGTGTGACTTCACCAGAGAGTCGGAACCTTAATTGCCAGAACTGTGTTTACGAGTTATCGCAGTAAAATAACGTCACAATGTACTGACATAAATACATATGCCGAGATCTTAAAATCTATTTTCATAATTTCCCGATCTGAGACAACTGGGTTGAAACTTACCGGAAAAAAATCGCAGTGCGAATATCATTGTAGTATCCTAAAAAATATGTTAAGTACCGAATCAGAAAACCTGATGCAAATTAACACTCATAGTGATGAAGATGAAAATGTAAGTACGAAAAAAAAAGACAGAATCTCATTGCCAGATGAGTCAGAAAAAGAAGAAATGCTAACAGAGAATAAGACAAGAAACGTTAATAAATAGGAAATTTGGGGAACCTTAATTAATGTTAAAGCAGTGGCATAAAGTTGATTACATCGGAGAAAATCCGAATCCATATGATTTACCATAGTTCGCAAATAAACTATTGAATGACATTGCTGAAATCTGTTTATGGCCATCGATATTAACCCTTTCTTTACGGCAGTCCGCTCCGCTGGAGTGACGCCACTGAACGGGTCACCGCGCCGCGAAGTGTGCACTTTGATCGTCAGTAGTCTTCGATATTCGGACTAACGTTTTTCAACGCCACTTTGTGATTGACTTGTATGTACACTTTTTTAAGAGCTACATAACAACTGTTTCATCGTATTATAGGAAAAACATGAAAATGAGTATATTGTATGAATATTCAGTTATTTACATATTTACAAATTTTGCTATTATATTATTATAAGTAAAAATACAATTTGGGGTACTTAGACATTAAATTATAATTTTTAGTAATTTAATTGAGAATGATAAATTCTAAAACAAGGGTCGACGCAGAAACCTACATTACAATTTTGGCATTCGTATCTAGACTCACGTCTTTTGTCATTTGCGCTGCAGACAACGCACCTTCTCTTTCGGTTTTTTCTAACTGGTACATAGAGTGAAGGAAAATGTCGCTCTAATAATCGTAATGGATTATTATTGGCTGTTCGCTGATGATAATTAGTAGTCTTATGATATTTTTCCAGTATTTCCCGGATTAATTCTAACTGAAACTTGGCCATAGAAATGGCTTCTTGGATTTTATGTTTATACAGACAATACGCATTCCACACGCATATGTCTAATAAGTGGAAAAAAAAATGTGCGGTACCATTTTAGGGATTTGCGCGTTGAACTGACAGTACTGATTACCATATCTGCTTTATCGACGGCACATCATCATCATCATCATTATCATTGTAATCTGATACGCAGAGAGGTTTTTGAGTAATTTTTTGTCCGCCATGCCTAGAAACCGTTGTAAATTCTGATGTATGCATGGTAGACAGCATGTATACATCCTTTTTGTCCGCCCACTTTAGAACTAGTAAATTTTTGGATGACCGAAAAGATGCCTCTCCTTTTCTTAGTCTATCATGAATCTTCGGCATTCCTTTGCGCCTTTTCCTTAGAGTTCCGCATGCATTTGTGTAGTTGTTATATAATAAATTGAACAAGGCTGGACTGGAATACCAGTTATCTACGAACAGGGTATGGCCTTTTCCTAGGTAGGGCTTCATAAGTGTTTCCACTATTGCCCCCGACTTCCCAATTTCCTTATTTTCGCTATTGACTTTGGTCGATGATCCGGCATACACAATAATATCTTGCACAAACCCTGTTCGGCAATCACTAAGTATAAACGATTTAATGCCGAATCTGCTTCTTTTCGAAGGAATATATTGTTTAAAGGATAGTCGCCCTTTATACAAAAGCAAACTCTCGTCAATGCATAATTTTTGATAGAGTGCGACGGAAATTCCTTTCCCTGGTCGGCAAACAGTCATACGCCCGGTGTACCTTAGCGAAAAGGGTGTCAAGCCCGATCATCGGCTCGTCCGGGAGCCCGATTTATTTAGGGCACCAGGTGCGCGCGCGCACCTCGGGATCCCGGTGCCCGGTAGCACGAGCAAGCCGACTCGGTCCGGTCGACGGGACCCACCCGGGCGTATCCGACCGGCCACTTAGCCCCGCGAGGACTTTACGCCCTTCGCGGCACGGTAGAGTTGGGGGGTTCGTTACGAAGGAGGCGCGAGTGAGGAGGAGTCAATCTCAGAATTCGCGGGATCGGTAAGGTCAATGAAAGAATCAAATCAAAGTTGCGACAGACAAGCCCTTCGGGAGATTTATTCCGCGCACGGGACCCTACCACGGAGACGCGTCACAATATCATAACGACTCTACGCACAGAATCGGAACAGGGAAAACTAAGGCAATTGAACAGAAACTGAACGGGACCAATGCGGCAAAATACGGTACGCGGTCAAGAAAATCGAACTCCCCGGTGGAAGTACGAAAAGGGCACAACGCCCTAGCGGTAGGACCTTTTACGTGCCCCGTCGGACCTCGGTAAGAGCCCGGTGCCTTCGATAATTGCGCAACAGAATTCGGCACCGGCTCGCGATATGGTTCGTCACCTCCCACCCACTCCGACCTGCTTCCCAGCAGCCACGGTACTCACGAGACATTATTAATTACAAAACGACAACGATACGGGGCGCGATACATTCGAGCGGGTGGGAGTCTCCACCGCCGGAATTTCACAATAAAAACTCGAACGCTCTCCGCGGCTCGGAAATTACAATAAGGCTCGAAAGAGGCGAAAGACCTCCCCTCGAAGTGCGGGAGGCGCGCGCGCGGAAAAAGAATCTACTGGAAATACAGCCTGAATCGACCGGTTGAACATGAAATGGCGGCGATCACGGCGCGGGATCGGCTCCGGGCGGTATCGGCTCCGACGCGGGATCGGCTCACGGCGCGGTATCGGACAATGGCAGTCTAGGAGGCCCCCTGGGCAGGTTCGAGCTCACCGGTAAGAAGTTCGTTTAGGCCGGGACGGTCCCCTTGTTTCAGCGACTGCGCCTCGGCGGAACGGGACGGCACCCTTCGGGAGCGGCGGTATGGCGCCTTTCGGGACTCTCCGACGGGCTTATTTATTAACCCCTTCATCTTCGATCAAACCCGAATTCTAATCATAATCGCGACTTCCATGCCTTGCTCCGGTTAACCGGATAGATTAAGAACACTTTAACTTCCTCTAAACAGCTGAGCTCGAATCTCAGCATCGCGAGACAGAACCACGCGTAGACCGCCATTAAAACAGTAAGGAATTCCCGCATCAGCACTCCGGCGTCCAGTAACCTACCGCCGCTAGAGCGTGCTATCGCGACACCTGATCCGCCGCGATGCGGAAGTATATCAACCTAGAGAAAATTAGGTCAATGCACCTCGGGGGCCCTCCCAGCTGATTGTAGTTCAGACCTCACGGCCGAATAAATGCAAATTATCCTAATACACTAGCCACATTGCCATTCTTTCGCACCCCTTTTATTCCTCACTCCCCTAGATCCCACCAGAGGAATTGATCTAGCCGCTCGGATCGATCTCCTGTGACGGGCAAGCCGTCACGTCGCTTGAACGACGCGCCACCGGGCCAGTGGCGCCCTCAGGCCCGAAGCCGCCGCGCTAGGCGCGCGGCCCCGGACACCGCGCCGGCGCGCCCGAACGCCACCAAACCGGCCCGAAGATCGCCGAAGGCCCGGCGGGACGAGGCCCACCGAGCACACTTCCGCCTGGACGACGTGCCCAGCCAGAGAGACGAGACCGAGCTCTTCGTGCGCCTTCCGACCCGCCGAACCGGACCACGGCCAGCATCCGGCCTCCCGACCGCTCCCGCCAACCGGCCGAGCGTCTCCGCCGTGAGGGACCACCGCCGCCGCCGACCCGGCTTGTCCCGAGACGCCCCGCCGCCGCCGACCCACCGCCACGAGGTGCCCGCCATTATCCCAGCGCCCGCGTGCTCGCCCGTAGCCGTAAGTAGGTTAAGTAATTAGAATAAGGTAGTTTAGGATAGGGCTAGTCGTAGAACCATAATAAATTCGTTGTCGTTATCTACACATCTATATACGTCTTTCCCCGCCTCCGCTCCTCCATCAGTCTCCCTCTCCCCGTTACACTCCTCACAAACTTAAAATAATCGTTACGCGCAAGATTTGGGTAATCTCAATCTGAATTACCCCGGCCTCGTATCCGCTCGGCCGCCCCGTAACAACGCTATCCCTTACCCACCCCTCTGACCTTTTCGCAACCCATCCCCCATTATCCTCCGATTCTGCGAGGGCCAGGCGGTCGCAGGATTGCTCGAACGGTGAAGTTAATCCGGGGCCGTGACGGCGCCGTGACTCCGGTCACGGCGCCTCTACATCGCCCCGGAAAACTCCTGCGGAGCGCGCCACTCTGAGACGAGAAAACCCAGCGTAGCCTCGCCAAAAAATGTTTAGACAAGGAGGTCCCCCTAAGGGATGGCGCTAGATTGAGATGGCATTGAGGACTTTGAGTATAAATATGGGTCCGCCGGGATCCGAAAAGGCAGTCGTTCTGTTACGCGGTCCGTCGCGAACGGCCGGAGGCTCTGGGAAAATACACCGCATGTTGTTATCAAAGTCGCTTCCTCCGTCGATATCCCCGCCGCCACCCGTACCATCGATGTGTGCGCGCCTCCCGGTCCGCTTTCGCCTCGAGACGTCCGCAGCGCTCCGCTACGCAGACATTCGCCATGCAGTAGGACGCGCCTCACGCTCCGCTACGCGGACATTCGCTCCGCAGCAGGACGCGCCTCGCGCTTCGCTCCGCGGATCCTCACACCGCAGCGGACGCGCCCGCGCTCCGCTCCGCAGTCCCGCGTATCCCGGCGGGCCCTAGCACGCTGCCTAGCAAGCCGCCGTCAGCGGCGTCTCGCCCCGCAGCACCGGGCAGCACGGAGCTCACGCAGCCCCCGCCGCTGAGTGCGCCCCCGAGCCGCAAGCGGGGAGGCCGCCAAACAGCGCTGGCCCGCGCCCGGAGACGCGACATCGTGGAGGCCGGGAAGGTCGAGCCCTTTGCGCCGATTCCCGCCCCCGCCGTCACCTAGGACTCCGCGGGACCCGCCAGAGACCCAGCCACCGCCACGATCACCACCGCTCCCCCGACCGACGGCACCCCGACTGGCTGATCGCTCGGGCCGAAGCAGGTAGGTGGTTCTCCTCGGCGGCCGCGGCGGTCTTCGCGAACCCGGTCGCCCGCCACGGGGCCCACGACCCGCTAATTGCGCAGATGCTCAGCCACGCCAGCGAACCGCCCCCCGGACCAGCCTCTCCACCGGAACCGAGGACGCCGCCGCGATCGCTCCCGAGGGAGCCCGCGAAGCCGACGCCACCTCCCACCACGGTCACGCCGCTGCCGCCGGCCTGAGGCCGGCCCGGGGCTCGTCCTGCCCTCCCACTCCAGGCAAGGGAATTCCGGAGCTCACCGCCCGAACCGCCCCGGACGCTCCGTCGCCCCGGGAGGCCCCGGCAAGGACGCTGACGGGACGTCGCCTCGTCCCCTCGGTCCTCCGGCAGTTACGACCGGCCAAACTGTCCGCCGGCATTCTGGCCGAACTCACCGCTGCCGAGGCCACCCCCGGGTCCGCCAAGCTCACCCGACGGCTCGAAGAGCTCTTCGGGCCGTAGAAGGGGAAGCGCCCCCACCCCCCCACCCCCCGTTGAAGCCCATGGAAGGCGGAGAGTGGAGCGGCCTGGCAGCCCTAGCGATCATCGTCCTTGGGGTCTGCGTCTGCTGGCTCCGGGCCCTACTCCGAAGGGTGTACTCCGATCGCCCGGGCGCCCTCAACCTCCCGGAGTATCCCACAGTGCCGCCCTCGACCTCTGAGGAGCGAAGAGCGAGCCTTCTACCTCGACAGGAAGATCCACCGGATCACGACGCGAGTGACATGGGCGCGCCTCTCGCCCGACCCCCCCCCCCTCCCGCGACGCCGCGGGTAATCAGAGACAGGAGAACCGCCAGTGCCGCGAGGACGATTTTACCGCGACTGCGAGGACAAATTTGACATTCTCCCAAAACTTTCATTACCAGAAATATCTTTGAGTTTTCTCGTTCCTGGGAAAACTGTCTTCGAGAAAAGAAGTGTTTCGAGTATACGAAAAACATGAGTGGTTCCAACGAAGAAAATCTTATTTGACCTCGTGGAAGACGTCCTGCGCTGTCAAGTTCTGTCATGATTAATCTGATTAAAATATAGTTACAAAATGTTAGTAAAAGATTCTACGTGCAATTTTCACATTGCATCAAAACAAGATAAAATTTGGCAAACAATTTCAACGGTATGAAATAATACAGTTAACCCCCAAAGTTTGTACATTACTGTAACGTGCAATAAGTATGATACAAAGACCATCTTGATAAGATCTGTAGTTGGAGAGCAAGAATGTACGGATGTGTGTTCAAGATGTTCCCTCCATGGGAACGAGCAAATTAGTTTACGGTTCTATTCAAAGAAACTTTAGGAATTTGAGCAGCAGTTGGTCACCACCTGAGAGCTGTAAAGAGACAAAGGGGTCATTCGGAAGAACGTCGCGAAAAGATTCATTCTTCTAATTTCCGCGGCTTAAAATTCTGAACAACCAATTTCTAATAGGGACTCCTTTTATGCCTGGGTTGGTCAGGCTATCAAGTATTTTTCTCGGGTTCAGTCGGGAACCCGTCATAAACCCTAATCTCCTACAGCGGACTAATTTGTTTTGCCCGGACGTCCTTCGTAGATTTTGAATTTGGGTTCTTTGGGATCAGTCTTTACAATTCTTTCCGGGTCGACCGTACTTCCAATGTTCACACGTGCAGACAACATGAGTTTCCCTCTCCATGGCAACTAGGATTTTCCAACATTGACAGACTATAACAATTATCGGCCAATCCGAAGGCCACTCGTCCAGTTTGTACCGCCCACTCAAATTCCAAAGAGCCAATCACT